TTTCCAGAATGGCCTTTAGTGAATTCCATCCAATACAGAAATGTGTGCTCATGGTTGGCTGTCAGACAGGCAGATGTGTTATTCAGAATATACACCAAAGCATGCATCAGAAAAAAACAAACAAAAAAACATTTGGTGCAGTTCTCCAAAACAGTCTGAGTTTCTCATGTGGCCCTTTGGGAAAATTAAATGGGCAATATTCAGACTATTTTACCAAGCCGTACATATAATACAATCTCTACTCTTCTTGTTCGCGCTCACCTATGCTGATGTGGACTAAATGTAATGAAGAGGGAAAAGGAGAAGAAAGAGAGAGGTCCTTTTCCATCTGCTGGAGAGGAGCTAAAATAAAAGGTAGCCAAGGAGTACAAAACACATGAGCAGCAGTAATTCATTTACAATAAAACAGGCCCAGGGAATTTAAAAAGCAATAAAAGACAAACAAGAAGCCCCACTTATATACTATATGCACAGGTGTAACAGTCTTGAAACAGATGCTAGCACCAACCATCACAGAAATCACACTTTTCACTGGTTCTGTCTCACTGGGAAAGGCCTTCTACAGGGTTCCAACACTGGTTCCACAGACAGTTCCAGTCCCATCTTCTTAGTATCCCTCTGACCTATCCATCTTGTTGCTGCTGATGCTCTGCTGTGGCTTGCACTCCTCCTGTACATGCTCCTTGACTGTCCTCACCTCTTATCTTTATGCAGAGTGAGCAGGTGTGGATAATTTCTTTGAATAGTCACTGGTAGGTACATGTAACAACCTCAAAATAAATGCAAAAAATATACAAACATGCATAAAACTATACTATAAAACCAAACCAACAAAGCACACAGTATAAAAACATGAAAACTACTTCCACCCTGTAACACAAAGATACTGATTTAGTACCTGACAATCTGGCAAGTCAGAAAGAATGAATACATAAAAACCCTGTCAGTGTCATGCTTTATTTACTGTTCTCAGGTCATAGTTTTCTTTGTTTCTCATTAGTCCATAAACACTAGAAGGCAACAAATTGACTGGATTTCTTTCATTCATCCTAAAATGTGAACTACAATAACAAAAACGTGTTGTTGACTGTATTTGTTCTGAGGACATTTTTATTTCTGATCATCAGTTTTCTTTTTCACTTGTCCTTTGTTGTGTCTCTGTCTCCTGTTTGCTACATGGTTCGCTCTTCTTCTACTACTGTTAAATATTCTGACACTTTTAATGCATTTTTATTCCCTCAAGATAATGTTGATGTCTCAACATAATGTTTTTTTTTGTTTTACAAAATATTTTTTTTAACAAAAAGTGTGTCTTGTTATAGCCAGGTAAGCTGCTGTTTTGAACTCCTCTCCCTGGATAATTGCCAGTACTTGCTGTTTAATGTATTCTTGCTGAAAAGTTGAGTGCTTGCAGAAATCAACTCTTTTACACACTCATCACCTTCATTTAAAGGATCTTTTATTTTTTTTCAACAGTTCAGTGAAACATGCAAAGGCTGCCTTTTGTTGTGAGGCACAAAAATAATTCGTTTTTTGAAGACCTACCTATTTCACAGACTTTCAGGTCACTTTGAAACCGGCAGCGGGTTTGTTCTGGCTTAGTTTATCTCGGTTACTTATGATAGGTGTGTGTGTGTGTGTGTGTGTGTGTGTGTGTGTGTGTGTGTGTGTGTGTGTGTGTGTGTGTGTGTGTGTGTGTGTGTATAGCAGTTGAATAGCGTATTGGTAACACTACATGCCAGGATCGAGATACAATCACCCCCACCATCCCTTCTGCGGCCATGACTGATCTGCAACAAGGTAGGAGTGATCTTGGAGATGATATAAGATAAACAGTCACAAGGAGCAGCACCATTCATGGAGAAGAAGAGTAGAAGCTGAAATCAAGACCAATAAGGCAGTGGTGTACCATCCAGGGTATATTCAGTGTGGCAGGGGTACAATATAAGAACAGCAGCTGCTCCAAGACTGGAGACAGAGCAATACTGGAATAACATATGGGAGAACCTGCCTGAACAGGATCCAGACATCCAAGACATCCAAGAAAGGTTCTCCAGTATAAAGAACTGGTCATGATTTATGCATACTGACTGAAGAAGCTGACTGCACTCCATGAGCGTCTGGCAGCACAAATGAAACAACTACCAGATCCCCAAGTATCCCCAGAAAGGCCCAGTCTCATCCAACTACCACCAGTAACCTCTCTCAGTACCACACTGAAGCTTGTGTCAGGCATTAAAGAACTGGTGAGTGTCAGAACCCCTGTCCAGAAACATCCATGAGTGCATCAGGAAGATGGCCCCAACCGACTGCGTGCTTAGTGAATACCTCAGGCAGCAGAAAGCAGAGTAAAAAAAGGACCAAGAGGAGGAACCATCATGGAATGAAAGGCCGCTGCACGGTATGTACCACCGCCAGATAGAAGTGGCTGACATCCATAAATCCTACCAGTGGGTGGACAAAGTTGGACTGAAAGACAGCACAGAGGAACTGACCATGGCGGCACAGTAACAAGCTCTAAGTACAAGATCCATAGAGGCTAGGGTCTACCACACCAGGCAAGACCCAAGAAGCAGGCTGCGTAAAGACGAGGTCAAAATAGGACAAACCCCACAGGGTGGGCGAGAATGACCGAGCTAAGATCCTGTGGGACTTCCAGATACAGACAAAAAAACTGGTGATGGCTAACCAACCAAAGATAGTAGAAGTGGACAAGCAGAGGAAGTCGGCTGTAGTAATAGATGTAGTGATTCAGAGAAACAGAGGAAGAAGGAACATGAGCTTGAGAAGTACAAAGGGCTAAAAAAAGGGCTCGAGAATATGTGGAGGGTGAAGGCAAAAGTAGTCCCAGTGGTAATCGCAGCACTCGGTACAGTGACCCTCAAGCTGGGCGAGTGGCTCTAGCAGATCCCAGGAACAACATCCAAGATCTCTGTCCAGGACAGCTGAGATACTGCACATGTATATGCTATATATGTTTCTATAGGCATTTGTATATAGGTATGTGTGCGTGTATATGGACTTTTGGTAATCTTTTGAGATAATTCATTTTAATCTTTTATTTTATTTTAACTACTTTGTTCTTCTTTTCAGCACTTTGACTGACATTTGATATCTTTCAAATGTGCTATACAAATAAAGTTGACTTGACTCAATGATATTTATCTTGAAATGTGCTATATTAAATGAAATTGTATTATTATTTAAACATACTAATATACTGCAATGATCTATCTTATGATGATTACTTTTATTTGTTTTTGTAGGAAACATTTCTTAACTTTCAATTACTTTGGGCTACATTTTACTGCATAAAAAAATGCTTAGACATGTTTTGTTTAAGCATTCTTTATTTTCTCCGGGTGGTACTGTACATCATGACACAGTACAGTAGATTATGTGTGCTGGCACCACTTTATCAAAATCAGGGGAGCGAATCAGATAGTCTGGCAGTCCAGTCTCACAGCAGAGTGATCAGAAGTCTAACACAGACTGTGTCAGCTCATGCAGAAATAAAATACAATTGTGCAGACTGATATTATCTCATTAATTTGTCTCTATCACTACTATCATGGTTCATGGGTATGATATCATATAGTGATGTTTTTGATGTTTCATAGAGACAGAAGAATAATCTACAAGAGATAGAAGAAGAAAAAGTGAGCAGTGTGCAACAAGCCTGTTTGGAGCAGTAATCGAAATGCTGAACCAACAAGATATGAAAGGGAAGAAAATATTTAAAATGCATGTATGTGGACTGGATTAATCTTAGTGTATTCATTTGTTATCTAAAAAATAGTAATCTCACTTGTATAGATTAGTTGAGAGAGAATGAAGGGATAAAAAAAATCCTAGCGATAAAAATAAGACTAAAAAAACAAAACAACAAATGATTTTAAGGGATCCTCAGCCCTTCCCATGAGGGTGGCACGGATGCCCCTCCGGTGGTCCTCCTTGGGCTCTCGCACTCTGAGGCCTCTGGATGTCTGGGGCCTGGATCTCCTCCATGCCTGCTTCATGCCCTGGGGGACGGGGCTATGGCTCGCTACATCCTCTTGCAGACCATTACATGTGGAAACCATTTGAATACAAGCGCGCTGATCCACACAGGTATGCACACGGGTGTTCACTGCTCATAGACTTAAATTACACCTTTCGTGGCTGCTACTTCAAAGCACATTGTGCGCTGTCTGTCCTGCGTGCTGCACAACAACATTGAATATTTAGTATTTACTGCTGTTTACACTTAGCTAGATTAATGCGATGGTGTTGTGTTTAGTATGTTGCTTTGTTTTGTTTTGTTTTTTGCTTGTTTTCTATTCTTCTTCTCTCAACAGGCGATCCAGGAGATTTTTTTTCTCCCCCCCTTTCTCACTGTCCCTCTCCCCTTCTGTTTTTCTTTTCCTTCCTCTTCTTTCTCCCTTTCCTATCCCTCACTCATATCTGTCCCATCTGTAACATCTGAAAATAAAATATAATAAATAATAAAAACAAAGGTCGATCAAATGGACCAATACGGCAATGCCACGATGATCCATTTGGCAAAGTAAATCCATTGGGTATCCTTGTTGGTCTTCAGACAACAATTCTGATGGCTAAAGAACCAAATGGGACAGGCAAAAAAACAAACAAAAAAAACCCACAAAAACCCCCCCAAAAAACAAATGATTTTAAAAACATTAACAAGGACATAAAGTACTGAACAAGAGATTAACAATTAGATTTCAGAGTACAAGCAAAAATATGTTATTTCTAAGAAACGATAAACCTTGGGTGCCAACAAGGTCTATTGCTATGAAAAAAAGTTAACATTGAAGCGGTGTTAATCTTCTTTATGACCATGTGGTTGTTGTCATGCTGGATAAAGAAGATACTGAAGTCTGTCTTGTTGCATTACTAATATGTAAACACAAGATTCATATCATCATGTGAGCAAAAAGAACAAAAAAATCAACCTTAAATGTGCCTGATATGACACCTTATTAGAGAGAATAAAACTCTAAACACACAAGGATCTGGCATCCTTTAACTGGCCTGTTCAGTCAGTGGTTGTGCACAATCTTTGGAGCAAGAGGTGAACATGGACAAACTGTCATCTACAGTTTATGTGTTGATTGTAGCACTTTGTGCATTTCCGCACTTTGGCACTGTTTTTCATGCACATGCTTTGAGAAGAGGTGGCATTTCGACAGGTGAGTTTCCTTTGTCTTTGTTTGCAATCTGTCTACTTATTGATTGTTTCTAAAATCAGGAGAATGCCCATGGCACCTTAATCTTGCTCTGTAATGTATGGGAATGACAACTATTGTAGAGACCAAATATGCTGTAACTATGATGGTGGAAAAGTCTGTGTCCCTCCTGTTTTCAGTACGTGTTACAATGTTTAATGTCTTCTTAAGAGTGTGTGTGAACAATCTCATTAAATAAAAGCACTCGAAGTAGTACAAAAATTACGTTTCTTCTAATAAAAGCCACATTTGCATTTTCGAGAGCTCCTTGTCTAAATGGATGTTGTTGGGTTTTTTTAATAGCAAAGCCAGGAGTGTGTCCTGTCAGGTACTACATACATGCAGATTGTACCGAATCTTGCTCTAAAGACAGTGACTGCCACGATAATGAGAAGTGCTGCTCCAACGGATGTGGACATGAGTGCATGGCTCCAGTCATAGGTGAGAAATGTACAAAGTAGCTTTCTATTATATCTAAATATGTAGATTTTTTTCTCATTTGCTTTCTGTTCAGCAACCAATTTGGCAACCACAAATCACAGACTTCACACCTCATTTCCTACAGCTGATCACACTTCTTTCTCACTTTACAGCGTCAAGTCCATATTTTCTGACTGACTTTGTTTTCCTTTCAGTGAAGCCAGGATTTTGTCCTCACAGGCTTCCCGCAGCCCTTGGACCATGTGTTGAGTCTTGCTCGACAGACAGTGACTGCCACGATAGTGAGAAGTGCTGCTCCAACGGATGTGGACATGAGTGCATGGTTCCAGATATAGGTGAAAAAACAACAAAGCAGCAAAGACCACCCCAAAGTGAAAATGACCTACAGGATATCTGTTTATTATATCATCTGTATCATGTATATGAAGAATAAATTGTAAATTTGACTTAAAACTACAGTTTAATCATGATGGTACCTCATCACCAGTATGAGGTACAGTAGCCTCCCACTGGGAAACAGAATCAGGGCAAAACAGAGAGCTAAGAACTTGAACTAAAGATCACTAGGGTGAAAAAAAAGTTAAATAATGAGTCGCAGGGTAGAAATGATTATTGAATCAGACGACAGTGCTGAGTACACAGCGTCTTTAAAAGACAATAAAATGTTTCATATTTGTCACACACTCTTAGATACGATTTTGGTTCATTTTTTAATCACAAATCACAGACTTCATACCTCATTTCCTACAGCTGATCACACTTCTTTCTGGCTTTACAGCTTCAAGTCCATATTTCCAAATATCTTTATACTGACTTTGTTTTCCTTTCAGTGAAGCCAGGAGTGTGTCCTCTCGGGCATCCCCCAACCTTTGGACCATGTGTAGAATCTTGCTCTAAAGACAGCGACTGCACTGATAAAAAGAAGTGCTGCTCCAATGGATGTGGACATGAATGCATGGCACCTTACATAGGTGAGAAATGAACAAAGTGACTGTTTACAGCATATCTTTTGTATCACATCTTATAAAACAGCTCGACATACACTTTATTTAATCCCACACTGGGGAAATTCAAAAGTTACAGCAGTAACTTAGTTACAGTATTTTTATTTTAAGAAATTTTTAAGAAAAAAGAGAAGATAAAAGATGATGAGTTGTGGATCATGTTGTGAAAAGTGGTTCTTCTTTATGACCATGCGGTTGTTTGGATGCTGCAAACAACCACGTGGTCACTGGGGTTCAGTGTTGGGCAATTTACTTTAAAAAGTAATTAATTATAGTTACTAGTTACTTCTTCAAAAAAGTAACTGAGTTAGTAACTGAGTTACAATATTCTAAAAGTAATTAATTACTTGAAAAGTAACTATTGCGTTACTTTAAAAAAACGTTTAACCCTCTGGGGTCCAGGGTATAATTGGCCATTTTTAACTACTTTTGATTTCACCTTGACATTTTACCTTTAAAAACTATTTACTTTGTCTTCTTTGGTATTATTCTTTTTAGCACACTCTCTGAGTAGTACACCCGTGCAGCACGTTAACCTCGTACAAGTGTCTTAGTGTTGTTTATTCACCTGACTGTTTGTTAACTGTATATCTCTGACAACAACCTTACGTGTCTGAATTTACAGTTATGTTTTTATTTTGACATACTGTATTAACACAACTGATCTAAAATCAGACAAAAACATAAAATCAGAGTAGAAAAAGTTATATTTTTTACTGTAACAACCACAAACATGAATCATATCTCATAACTTTAAATGCAAATATAAATTGTCAGTTTTAAAATCCTGTGCACAAGTTTTGCAAACAACAAAGTTATTTGCATCCATTTACCTTTTACCTTAATTTTTTAAATAACCATTTCAAACTATTTACAGAACAATCAGCTGTTCTGCATTCAATAAGATGCCACACAAATTATTTGTGCCACTCCAAAAAAATAATTTGTTTGTTTTTTTGCTCATAAGCAGAGAGTGCTTGCTAGCGCTGCCCTTAGACCAGGGGTGTCGAACTCCAGGCCTCGAGGGCCGGTGTCCTGCAGGTTTTAGATCTCACCCTGGGTCATCACACCTGAGTTCATTACCAGGCCTCTGGAGAACTGCAAGACATGTTGAGGAGGTCATTTAGCCATTTAAATCAGCTGTGTTGGATCAAGGACACATCTAAAACCTGCAGGACACTGGCCCCCGAGGCCTGGAGTTCGACACCTGTGCCTTAGACAGTAAACGTGACGAAACTATTGAGGAAAAAACGCCGCGTATATATTGTTTATCATGACTCTGGTTTTACGTGGCCCATCGACACAATTTAAAAACTGGTATATATCACCTTGTTGCTTTGTCTTTAAGTGGTCGTGTGATTGGCTCACCACGACTACTTTATTCTTCCTCAGTCAAACAGCAGCACTCATGCAATTGTTTTGCCCCCTTAACTCCAGGTGTTGTGCTAGACAGTGATTGTGATTACCGTCCGCGGGAGCGCGAGCAGCTGCTTAAAGCTGTAGCGTCCAGATTACTTACGTAGTCAGCTACTTCCGTGCAATTGATATAAAATGCGGTAAGCTGGACACAGCTTCAACCGTCTGCTTGTTGAAAAATAGTAACGGACCGCGTTTTCTTGTTAGTAACTGTAACGGCGTTGTAACGATAGGAATAGTAATTCGTTAGATTACTCGTTACTGAAAAAAGTAACACCGTTAGTAACACCGTTACTTGTAACGCTGTTATTCCCATCACTGCTGGGGTTTAATAGCCTCATGGGATGTTTTGCAGAGGGAAAGTGTAACACTCTCTGGTTAAAGTTCTTTGTCTTTAATGTTTTCTTTTTTTTTTCAGTGAAGCCGGGAGTGTGTCCTCTCAGACTGTTGGATGACAGAAGGTGTGCTGAATCTTGCTCTAATGACATTGACTGCCCCGATAATGAGAAGTGCTGCTTCAGTGAAAGTGGTCGTCATTGCATAGAGCCTTACATGGGTGAGATATGAACAATGATAAGTAGCTAACTCTCCCACACTTTTTAAGTGGTTAAAGGCATTTTGTAACAAATCATATTCTCTATTTTGGTGTATCTGTAAAGTCCCCCGAGCGGTGGTCACTTGAGGCCTCCACATGTGTGCCAAGTAGTACTATCATGATGGTCAGGGTGAGGGTGAGCTCTGCTGATTAGAAATGACTTTTTTTCTTTCGTTAACGTTATTAAGACTTTCTGTTTCTGATGATAATCATGTCTCTTACAAAGAAAAAGCGGTCTGTTTGCATTATTTTCTTGTTTTCTTATTTACATCATGCAATCTTACCTTAGTGTAAAAACACTGTATTCAAGAAACAGTGTTGCACAATGAGTAGTATATCTGTTCCACTTCTAATAAAAGAGTTATAGAATGATGCATTGTGTGTTGTTTCTTTATGTAAAACAATATAAATTGCCCCTCACCTGTTGATTTGCTACACATTTGTAATAGGCCTCTGATTTCAAAAGTCTGTGAGGTTCAACAGATCAAATGCAAACGTTTATGATGCTTAAATATTTGTATTTAACATTCAAAATGTAACTAGAATCAGTGCAAAATACATTTTTGGTAAAGGGCTAAAAAGCACACACAGATACAAAAAAAACAGAACCAAAAATAAGATAAAAGTCTGATAGAAACACTGAAACATGTTCTCCACCTGGTGGTGAGGACAATAGGTCATGCATTCAGGCCATGCCCTGTATGCACACTCGCCACACCAGACTCCATTGCTGCCAAGCATGCTGAAGAATGTTTAATGTCTACTGAAAAACATTTTAGACAAGCCTGTGAAATATTGGAAGAAGAATATTCTGTGGTAAGATGAGCCCAAAACAGAAATTTCTGGAGACCATAATACACACCATGGAGTTCAAAAAGCACTGCATTTCACCCCAAACAGTTTGGAGTTGGGAACATCCTAGAGTGGGGCTGATTTTCATGCTTCCTATAACTAAAGGAAGGATGAATAGAAAAATGTAATGACACATTCTTGATTTTAAGAAAATCTGCTGTCATCTATCAGTAGACGATTTGCCTAAAATCCCACCTGAGCAATGCATGTGACTAGTTTCTCCACACAGGAGGCGTCTTGAAGCTATCATCACCAAGAAAGGCGTTTGCATGAAGTATTAAATACATTTCCAGCAAGGATGCTCCCCTGTGTCATTTCTCATTATTACATGTAATTTATGGACATATATGGGTTGATGTCTTTGCATGTGTGAATTGGATGGGTTGTTGACGACATCGGGCGAGAATTTCATGTCAATAACACCTTTAGAAATGAGTCTTGTTACATGCTCAATTATCCAGGTAAAGAAATCCCCAAAATTTGATTTTGTTCATCTGGACGTAACGTTTTCAGTGGGAGAAGCAAATCTACTTGTAAACAGTATGTTTACATAATGACTGAAAGTTTCTCATTTCAGTCACTCGAAGTCAAGAAGTCAATTGGTTGAATGACGTAACATTTCTCAGGCTGAGAATGATACTGTTCATTCTGTCTAGATGAATAAAACCAACTTTTGGGGGCTATTTATTTAGAAAATTGATGACACATTGTCACAAACGGCAGCAAGACTGCCCCCATGCTCACTTGGTTGGCATCCACCAGGATTGTAAATGCACTATCAAAACATGGAGCTGCTAAAACAGGAGGGAAGCACAACAAAGGCTTTACATTGTCAAACACTAGCTGACATTGTTGAGATGAAATTATTTCAAGTGCCTTAATTCTATGCTTTATATGAACTAAAATGCCATATAACCATATAGTGTAGTATTAAGTGGACACGGCCCTGAAATAAAGGCATTAGACTACATGTCCTTGGGGCGTAGAATGCTGTAGACTCTCGCCTACGCTTGCCTGGGAAAAAGTAGATAACAGGGGACCATCTTCTAGTGGAAAGTTACTGAGACACTGTTGTTTAGACTAGAGTGAGAGAGCTGGTAATAAAACTGTTAGGCGCGCGCCACCATTTTGAG